CTAAACAATATTAACATTTCATTTTTCCCAACTTTGCTTAACATGACACAAATATTAGTCATCGATTGACATAAGATTTCACGATGTCTTTTACCAATTGTAACAAAGCCAAAAAAATTTCCAAACATCCGATTTTAAAATCAGGTGACAATGGTTCGATCCGAATTGAATTCGATTCCCTGAATGTAGTGCCACGCTGTCAACCACTCGATTTTACCCCACATTTCTTTCTGTCTATGAACAAGAGGTACAATTACGTCATGTGCTTTGACTGGTTTATTATCAGATCGATCCACCACACCAGTATTATTTTGTTATTGCTTACGTTTTGTCGTGAGGATACGGTCGATTGTCCGGCCCACCAATTATCAAGTTCAGCCCCCCCTCATCCTTTAGTTTTATCAATGAGGAAAGTAAATGCACTCTGTAAATGGTAAAAAAGACGCCCACTGTAGATTAAAATATTTGACAGGCTCGTCTGACAGCTACCAACAAAGACAAGATGAGATAAATTTGGTAGACAAGTCTGATGCACATCAAAAACAAAGCGTGTAATATCAATTAAATATCATATGCAAACTAAAATGATATATCAAACGCAGTGTATATTACATTCAAATCGATTCTTTCAAAAAGTTGCTTTTTTGCGCATGAGCCAAGGAAAACGAATGTGTCATGCAGGGGATTAAATGAAATCTCCTTGGTAACGGCTTATGTCATCAAACAAAGCAGTCCACGTTGTTTGCAAAATTGAGCTACAGTCCGAGCGGGGCTGATTTGTGTGTTAATGAAGAACGTAAAATGCGATAATAGTAATTTCATTCGATAACCACGTTTTTGTACATCATGAAGCCTATTTTTGGTTATGAAATTTGAATGGGGACACTGAACGAATTACGTTGACAGGAAAAACTATCGATCATCAACCAGCATGTCAATATGTTGTAAAAATGGGTCTTTACAAAGTGTAATCGCTGGGAGCTTTTACGGCCCTCCGTTATCTCTCACTCTCACTCACTCTCTCTTTTCTAATACCATATTCATTTCTCTTTTCTTGTTTGTATCGGTATGGGTCGTTTTTACCATTTTCTATAAATAATGCATCTCATACATTAGCGCATAGACCGGTTTCAAACAAATAATGTTGTGCGCCCTTTAACAGTAAACCCGTGCATCTAATATCCGTATATACCACTCGTTTTTCATTATAACCCCAGCCATTAGGCATGTTTGTATTTAAGAGGTGATCAAGAAACATCCGTAAGATTGATGAGGTAATAATGCGTACAGCTGCACTTTATTCGTCATTCAAGTCAACCAACGCATTGTACAATGCCCTTGATTTTTATGAACATCAAATACCAATTCGACATGATACTTATGTCGCTATTGACAATCCCGCATCGGTCAATTTTCTAAAAATTAATGAACATACTTGTTCTCCTGCCTGCATGCAGAGAGACTCATGTGAGCGTTTCATAGTCATTTTCATGAAAAGGTTAACGCAAAAAGACACATGGCTTAAGATTTAATCGCTAAATTTTATTTAAATTAAAATAGTTTAATATAAGGTAAAAAATAGAACAAGTGTTACATAATGCGTTTAATATAGGTAGATGCATATTCTTTTCAAACAAATGACATGCACGGGCGGGGAGTTGACAGATGATTATGGATCGTACCAACATCAGTAATGACAAATCACTTTATATTATCAAAGAAGAGGGTCTACGGCATCGTTGATTGACGTTTATACATGAGAATCATCAAAAGGATCCGTTAAAGTTGTTTTTTCGGGATTGCCGTTCTGTGTACCGTTATGTTAATATATGCAAATCATATTTTGTGTGTAACAGGAAACGTGGGGCGAACTGCATGAGGACATGTATATTGCAGAAAGCATTTCGTATATTGTGTTTACTTATGTAATATGCCGTCACAACTATGTCTTTGTCATGTCATTTATCAATTTACGTATAAGCATGATTTACAAACCTATATGCCGCTCCTTATACATATTATAAAAACAGACTTTTTGTTCCTTAAAATGTGACATTAAGATATGACAGGCGTATCCCAAACATTTACGAGGACACAAAAAGCCACGTTTTTTTCATACTGCATACATAATGTTGATGAGTCCTATAGACTTGGTTCAATTCGATACACAAGCACGTTTGCATTATGCGGTAATGTAACCATAATCGTGTATAGAAATTTATTACGTATGCTTGGGAATATTATTGAACTTACGCGTTCTCAATATTATAAAACGGCAAAAATAATGTGGGCTGGTATTATTTTAACATCAATTTGTTTTTTTATATATTTATTCAGTAAAGACCAAAATTAATATTATAACGTACAAAAAATTGTGGAAGTTTCCTAATTTTATCGATATAAGTTGACAATAAGCTAATACTAATGTAAATAAATTATATGTTCGATTTGTAATTTGTTGAATTTTAATCAAGTCCAAAAACGCAAATATTCCATAATAGATTAGAGACAGTTATTATAAATTATAGTCAATACAATCTCACTAAGATATTAAAATGAAAATATAAAGACAAGGGTATTATGACGTATTAAGTAATAAGAAAAAGAATAATATATGTACATATACGATAACAACAGATTTTTGTATTAAATTTTTATAACTATAAGAACTATTGTCACCGCCATTATTATTATATTGTCAGGGACTGGATACATCGTGGTTCAGTTGGAATTCTGTCTCAGTTCAAAACTGAGACAGCTGAGTTCTAGACTGAGCGAATGGGTTTCGAACCGAGTTACAGGCTTTAAACTCAGATCGACATATAACTTTGTATTAGCATTATAATAAAGTATCTAGAGCGGAGTTAATGGTTTTGTCTTGTAAGTATATGCATTACGATGAAAGCATAATTTTAAGTCTTAGCACAATGATAATAAGTATAATAGAAACAATATTTTCTCTCATGTTACACGTTCTGGTATTCCTTTATTACTGCGTTTTCAACGCCTAACTGTTAATTGTTTAATTAATTGCAATTACTGTGAAATACTACGCAAATCTTGAATATAACGAGCATAATATATATTGATAACCCATTAATTGGATAGAAAACGGCGTATACGACGCACGAAAATTGATAATTCCCTCACCGTTATTTACAAAACTTGCCTTATTGCAAATAAGCTTAGCTTACTGTTGCAGTAAGGATCGGGATATCCGCGCACATTACGCTGTCATAAAAAGTAAATTAGATTTTCTTATTAATAATTAAGGGAAAATAACTTGTGTTTATAATAAAATTAGTAAAGTACGATAATCAAAATAATACGCGCAAAGGAAGTCATTTAAGAGAAAACCAGGCTATTCGGCACCACAACGGTTGAGAAAGGGTTTGTCGACTGGGTTGCTATAGACGATTGGTTAAACACATGACTATGGAATCAGTTAGAGGTTGATATTAATGGGTAATCGACTATAAAATTACACCTATTATTTAATTATGGACAAGTATGACTTTATTAATTTTAATTTTTTTGTTTATCTGTATATGAAACAAGTTTGTTTTTTATTTCAAAGATGTTTTAATCTAAAAAAGCCTTACTATTATGTCAACAAAAAGTTATTAGTTGGAATTAGCTAAAGAATAGTGTACAGGGTATGGACACTGATAGTCGTAATAATAGATCTTCAATATACAGTCAACTGCCAATAATTTGATCGCAGATAATTCGGTTTCGTCTATAATTCAATCGCTTGAGCAAGACCCGATTATTTTTATTATTATTTCCTTAAATATGTCTACCGTTAATCGACTGTGTGTTATGTTAATCCGACCGAACGTGCATGTACAAAGTGTCAAAGTGTCGGATTTTGCGGTTAAACTATTATATCATTCTCCTTGTCCGTTTGATCAACGCTAATGTCATCCAATCTCTTACTATCAGATATTAACTCATCCTCCGTTCCATCCTTCTTTCGAATCGTCATATTAAAGCAAGCAATATGTTGCAAGTTTTATTCGTGTTCGTAGATGCAAAATTTCAAGTACGTTACAGCCAATTAAAATAGCGATTTACATACTCCTACCATAATACCCCCCCCCCCCTAGCATAATACCACTCCCGTGTATGGTACAACGAGGTTTTGTAAAATACCACTGGCACTTTAGTCTGAGAAATACGGTACTCCCGTTTCCCTTAGTAAGTTAATAATGATTCACCATTTCATTTATACAATGACTTGAGCGTTCTGCTGATCATAAACACAATGGACCCAACTCTTTTTCTTGTCAAACTATTTTTAGAATTAGCTTTCGTTAATCATTCAGTATGTGAGGCGTAAACATAGAATAAGGGGACAGCTGACTTTATGCACCACACAACTTCACAACGGACCAATCGTTAATTATAAAATACAAGTCTTATTTTGGCAAACAAAAAACGTGTAAATGAAGAATAAGATGTACCCCACCCTACATCGCGTGAGTGGCGGATAAACAGTGTTTCAGCTTGCCCGCAAAAAAAAAAGCTGCAATGCAGGGGCATAAACTACGCGTTGCTGTCTAATAAAAGTAAAGCATGCCTGGTTTTGCGGAACTTTAATCCGTTCATAAGTAATGTATGAATTTGATTCCGTCTTATGTCAAATTCTTGGATATATTATGGCACACTAATACCGTGCATTAATAAGCATGTGTTGCAATACTAACTGTATACTAGGCGATAAATTAAACAAAAGCTACCGTATATAAAAATTGAACTTGCGCTATGATGATATGATGACTGACAAGTAAAACAATAAACACAGTCAAAACGTACAAGTGTTCATTTTGTCGTTATATTTTTTTAAAACCGGGCAACAACACTATTTGGAAAAGACTATTATCTTGTTGGTTCAACGCAGAGCACTTAATAGAATAGTCAATAATACCCAAACTTGCGAAAAACCGAAACCCCCTTCCTTACATTGCTAATCGCAACTGTAGCCGCATTTTAAAATTATGAGTAAAGCGTGGTCGCCAAATGTACAGTTTTTAACAGTATTAAGTTGTATTTGACTACACTGCTGTGTACTGATTAACGTCTAAACTTTTATCTGTACACAGGAAGACAAAATTCTTGCTAGACTTGGCAACCGAGAAAATATGAGAAAGATGAGAGCAACCTATTTGAATCACAAAACGGCAAAACAATGTGCTGATAGATTGAGAAACATCCGGGAATGTATGTACATTTATTTAAGCAGCGTTATTGCTTATGGTTTGGTTTACGTACTTGCTGTTCAGCCTGTAACTTTCTAACATAACTTGTATATTCTGACAGATGTCGACGGACCATTTGCTCCTTTCGAATGCGATATGATTCGGCATTTGTATCAAAAATATGGCCCTCGATGGGGAAGAATGTCTGAAGTTCTCGACCGCTCTCCTCAAACGATTATGGAACGCTGGCAGACTATGGACCAAGAGGCTGCAAAAATACGCAAAAAAATGGCTATTTCAAGACTTCTTTCTTAATCTCACCAGCATAATTACGGTTTTTTTCTATGGATATAAGCAATATAAGCAAGCAATAATATAGAGTTTGATATATGCACAGTATGCAACAAAGTGAACACAGTGCCACCGAAAGATTTCAGGTGGTCAAAGTCACAAATTGTTACCCCTCATTTTATTTTCATCGTTTCAATTAACTCTCCCGTCCACCTTTTTACGTTTAAGCACAAAATTAAGCCTGTCAATATTAAGCAAAAGTAAAATACCAGAAATTAATTATATTATTTATCAAAAAGTCTTGGTTGAGCTGTATCGTAAATGTACACGTTTGCTTTTTTTTTCTTTGTTGTTGTGTCTGATTTATGTCTAAATAAAAAACAAGACTCGTAAATGTCCCAAGCATAAGTCTCCCAGTTATTCACTCATACCATCAAACTGCCATAAACAAGAATGATTAATAGCTGAACCACATACAATACGCAAGCTTATACTTGTTGGATGTCAGATCGGAATTTGTCAATTCCGAAGTGATATGTGTCAGATCAGAATTTTATGTCGCTTCCAAACTGACATGTGTCAGATGAGAAAATAGAAAATTAGCAATAAATATGACAATGTTTTATTGAATAATATATTGTCGTATGTCAGTTTGGAAGCGACATAAAATTCTGATCTGACATAAATTCCGATCTGACATACAACATTACCCGATTTTTTTTAAGGCTATATCAATATTATAAGAGTATTCCTGTATAAAATTCCTCATATGAGACTAATTTATATCACATTCGCCATGGAACCTAGAAATTACAGCACTGTTAAAAGTATTTTAAAGAAAGAACAAGATAAAAAATCGCTTTTTTAAAATAAATATACTAATACTCAAACACTGGAAGCTTACCTCAGGAAAGAAAAAATTACTTATAAAATTTGTCAAGAAGAGAGTTTTCAAAAGAGTACTAAAATTCTAATAAACAGATGCATAGCAATATCGTGCTGACTGCTAGGAAAGCATATCTACCAGTTACTCTCTCCGAAGTGATAGACAATTTGTGGCACGTGATCGAGAATTGCGTTTTAAGCAAGAAAAAAACTTTTTATGTCCATAACACATTAACGATAATGGAAGGTGAGTCTTTTTGATGTGTTATGGAATAAATTCAAACCATCATTTGAAATTTTCATTGATACTACAGTCTTACAAGACCACGCTCTTAATTACATGGAAAGTTTTCGTTATCAAACTAACTATTCTTAATGTAGTAACATGTTAGTACTGATTAGGGATTCTTGCACATTGACATCTTTGCGCGGTTAGTTTGTGACGTTAGTAATTATGGCTGATAGTGCGGATAGTGTCATCACTGTGCATGTCGATTCTCACCAAAATTAGTTAGAAAATTTAAATTGGTAATTATCCCGTAAAGTAAGAAGCAAATAGTGACGAAAATTGTTTGGGTCGAAGCGAATTCAGAGTGCGAGTAACCATGCACCTCGGCTTATGCAAGCGTACGTTAGTTGCAGTCTTGTATTTAAATGTGAGAGATATCAATACATTCTGTGAGATCATTCCCATGATAAAATAAATATTATGATAAACACAACACTTTTTCAAGCATATAGACTCTTACATTGAATAACGCCATCGTTAATCAGAACTGAAAATCTTAGAATAGATAATTAACCTTGCCTTGTAAGTTGAAGTTGAATCATTTGCAGCATTGTTTAATTAGTGTGCTGTGTCCACGTGATGTTTATATTACACAACAGTGACAGCGATCCATCAGCCGTTCAACAATCAGAGCATTATATTGCAGCATGTTCCCAATTTTAATACTTTAGAAACATTGGCGATATGTCAGCTGTAGGTGAAATAAACGACCTTCACATAATAAAGGCGTTTAGTACTTTAAACAGATACTAATATGTGTAATTATAATTGGCTTTACCAGTTCATAGATACATGTGGAACCATGAATTACGCCAGAACGAGCTCGGGTATACCATACGGGATCTTTCTATTTCAGCGTGTGAAAGTTACTGCACAATGCATCGATTATACACATTGCCAATATCTAGTTGGCCAGGCTCTCTAAGAGGGGATAAATTTAGACGAGTCTAATACATCAGCGTAAACAAGGACGATCAATACTGCATACAACACATGTTACTTTTTCCAAATTGATTGCGCGTGTCTTTTTTTTTCCTTTTGAATCACATGCATGACACATACCGGATGGATAAGGGATAAGCGGATATCATATGGTCTTACACGAACGTTATAAAGGATAATTGATGCAAGCCACTACTCAATATTATGCATTTAATATTTCATTCTAGTTAGAACTGTTCTTACTATGACATCAGAATTCTCACTGTTTTTACAACGCCAATCTTCTACATGCAGCCTAATCCTTCTCACATTCACCCATCAAATGTGATAGTCCCATTGTTATTCTCCGATAACGTGCGGTAAAATGCGGTGTTTTTGAATTTATTTTTTCTAGTTCGCGTTATTGGGGATTGAGAAGAAAAATGACGTAGATTTAACTCAACAATCTAGATCAATACGCTAAAGTGACACAATAATATTTACACATTTAGATTAGGATCGGAGAACTAGCATTGAATTGGGAGTCAGAGATCAGTTACACAGTTCACATACGGCACCTAATATTACCATGTTGCACAATTTAATAATAATATTAATTAACTAACATTCCGAATAAGTCATTTGTAAATCATCTTTCTCTTATCATTGACATACAATCCACCATTGAACTTTGATGAATAGTCCATATTGTTCCAGGGAGATCCACTGTCGTCATAATATGTACGATTATTTCCATGTCTGGCGATGGGACATTAATGTAACTAGTGATTAATATTCATAACGTGGGAAAAGAGTCTTTAACGACAAATTTGTCTTTCTTGACGAGCGTTATAATCACGTGTAGTTTATTCCATGAGAGTATTTGCGACCTGTATGAGAGTCAATTCCTATATGGAGATTCTTACGTAACGTAATATTCAACGCCCAACATTCAAAAGCTCAAGAAAAAAATTTTGATGCTAAACCGAATAAATTTAGGAATCATTACATGAAAAATAGGGTATTCTAATAAAGGCAGGCACGCCCCATAATAAGTCACATTTTCAGCTTACCCCACATTCCAGTAATACATATAAGGATATTTCTTCCAATAATACGGATACAAAGATTCGGTAAACATATTGAGTTAACGCGACCATCGTATCCGACGTATTTTATCAATTGTTAGACGCTATAAGGTATAAAGTGTTGGCATCTTATAAACATCATGAGCTTCGGTAGCTTCCAAAAGATCTTTGTTCATACGCTTGTAAAAATGGTTGACAAAATGCTGGTCATTGTAACCATAATAATCGCACAGAAATCAAATGAAAAAATCGTGCACATGCGACGCTTTTCAACAACTCGGAATACATATCGATATGGAGACGGCTTTACCTGATATATTTATTGTATCGCATATCGGTAATACCTGACAAACTTAAAGCATGTTACGAATGCAAACTCTGTAAGATTGCGTTAGTCGAAGGAGCTTTTACGGAACACGTGAGCATTAACAGAAAATGATATAATACAAAAGTCTACAATGAACAATGCTATATATACATCGTTTAATATAATAACGCTGATTTTCCTTTTATTTGCTTACGTAAACTAGGTTTTGTCCATAATTGCCATGTTGCCTGCATTAGCTTGCAGCTTTGTGAAAGTATTTTATTCCTCAGTTATCATTCGTATCACTCAGTTAAGTGGACCCTGGTGATTAAAGTTGAGGGTTAAATGCCTAATTCGAATATTATTCACATAATTATCACCCCAACAACCAATTAGTGTTCACCCCAATATTTTATTCCATCAACATATCCGTTCAAGTCCAAAGCAGAGACATAAACTGTTGTTATTACAATTTTCTTGTGCTATGTGTACAATATTCATACCACTTTATTTACATATCAAACGGCATAGCGGTAATTTTATGTGTTGGTCAATTAAATATCAAAAATCGCGTATGTATTGCACAAATTTGTTAAAGGTATGGCGTATTTCATTTGCAATGATTATTATACTTCGATAAAATAAATATGTATTACGATATGCTATATTGCTAAATTATCAATGAAACCGTTCAGTCAACTGTCATAAGTCTTACGACAAAGCATCGGTTTATTTAAATCAGCGTTGGATAGAAATGACATGAATGTATGCTAGTTTACATATTTCTACTAATACTGGGAGATTAATCGGTGAAACATTCAAAACTGGTTCATCATACATTTTTTCATAAATGTTACACATCAAATGATGTCATCTTCTTTGAAATATGCTGGTCTATTATTGGTAATACAGTGCTATAAATTTTTGCGAAAGTGGAGAGATTTCGGACTTCAATTTATCAACTACAAATGTTTCTATTCTTGCCCGCGAAATTTACGTTTAAAGAACTTTAATAAGTTTAGTGCATAACAATTTTATAAGAATAGTCTCACAAATTGTCGATAAACCCAACTGCAAGCCTATCATGAAGCCCACAAATGGGTGTAGTAAAATTCATAAGAGAGTAAGCAGGCATTAATCGAGAAATTTGGAGAAACTATTATAAAGCATAATATAACATGTTTCAAAATTCTGTAAATTATCCACATACATTATTATTAAATCAAAGGATTGACACTAAAAAAACGGCAAATCAAATAAAAAACGCTTTAGCAGCCATCCTCGTTTACTAGTTGCATATTACTATATCAAGGAAGTTAATATGCGAGCAGACACAATGTTCCGAAATACTACCACACACGCCCGAGAGACCTGAAACAGTTGTCCTTGGCAAAACGCATTAAACTATATTTGTTAAAACAAAAAAAAAATCTTTCGGTTAACAAATATTTTTATCTCGTGTCACCATCAGGAGTTATGCATGAAGAAAGAAAATGTGGGGAAAGAGCAATCCATTATTCGGCAGCGGCTTGAATCTGCTGTGTGAGCATCAATGTACTTGCAGTATGTGCCCCAAATGCTGTTCGCCCCCATCCATCGCACGTGAAAAACAGGGTCTATGATTTTAAAGACAATCATGGGCGCTATACGATTATCATCATAGTTGCAACACATGAGATAACATACGTATGTTGGATACTAAAATACAGCACACCCCAAACGATATGAGGACTTGGTTATTGACCCTCCCCCCATCCGTTTTTTTTTTTGTTTAGTCACCAGAAAATACAATTGATTCGATTCTGATTCAAATGTCGATAGACTATGCCCTGTTTACTCCATCTTAATATAAGTTGGTGTGACTTGGACGTACGTATAGGGAAGAATGACCGACGCCAATATGAAAGAAAACTTGGCTAATGTGGAGATTCTGCGAATTGCTTATCAGATCATTATGCTTGTAACTATTTGCTGTCTTGGTTTATCAAAGTACATTTAGCTTTAACTTTGTTCGATAAAGTTATTAAGAATGTTAGTCCTATAATTAGTCATCAAGCACACGTGAGTGATTGACTAGTTGAAAGATGTTCGAGTTAATATGACACAGAAATCAAATATAACACACAAAATATAACACACAGACAATGGCCAGAAAAGTGCAAACTCATTCGAGAGAGAGATTGTACAATTACGACACTATGACGCTAGACTGAACCCATCTTGTGCACCAATAAAAATTGTTTAAGCATAGCCCACACTTTAATCGCAAAGCGTCGAAAATAGCCTTCCTTCTTCTCCTATCGGGATAACCCATTTGATAATTTTGTATGCTCGATTTTGCAAAAAAATAATCTCGTAATGAATATCGCAATATATCGATATTGTTCGTAACCAAATATCGGTAAGAGCAGCAACGGGCTGATTGAAAAATATTAATATTGGTGGTTTCCTCATATTGCCATACTTAACTAATGTGGATTGGTATGTCAATCGAAAATTTCTTTGAATGTCGCCATCCCTTGTTACAAAAAAAATCACCCCACAGGACTTTTCGGGAAATGTTTTCTCCAGAAAGTAAAGCAGCAACAATGCAAAATAATACCTCCGCTTCATTTATATGCAGTCATTGGTCAATCGGTGGGCACTAAGGAGTTACGTATATGCAGCTCTGTGCTTAGTCAACTAATTAAAGATGCATAATCATTCCCCCCGCCCCCCATACTACATGTATCATGTTTATTAATCGACAGATTTGACCCGTTTTGAATAACCGTTATTCTAACAAATATCGTTATGTGATCAGAAAAGGCAGTGGCTGATATCAGTGGTAATAGGGTAAACGTTCATTTGTATCGAATAGTTTTCTCTTTTTTGGCATTTATTCTGTCTGTACTCTATTAGTTTGGAACATATGTCCATCACTGCTGATTCGTCCCATATCGTTTGCTTACTTAATAGTAAATGGGTCGTGCGCGCGTGAGGAACCCTTCCGGTTTCATGTCACAAGGTGTCAAGTGTGAATTGAGTTCTTTTGCTTTTTCAATCCATGTGTGCTTGTTGTCTTACTCCAATAGAAAACTTTACCCGCCTGCTTACTTTTAGTGCCCGTGAAAATCGGTCCAGTCGTTTTCAATAGATGATACTATTGGTCGATGATTGTTAATATTAAAATAACAACCCGCACGGACTGTGAAGCACTCGATCCTAATTGACCGTTTTTATTCTATTACGTAAAGTACCCCATATCAGGTACATAACCCTTCTGGGGGTCATATTACTTGTATTACTTTACGTCAAACACAATCCGTGCGGCCGTTTTGAATCGCAATAGACTCTGTTATATGGCAGCCTCACAACCTTAATTCAATTAAATAACAGTACATGACAATAGATATATTGTTGAAACGGAGCAAAGACTCTCTGCTATCAGTTTCATCATCAATGTGTTTATTATTATGTGTGGGGATTGCTTATCGTGCGTGAGAAGATATGTTATGTTTGTTACTTCTGTCCCCGTGGCGTATGTTTTGAACAACATTGCATTGTTATTTCCCGATTGTTTCAATGTTTTTGGACAATAAAGGTCTGCAAATTCCCAATTGTCTTCATATTACATCAAGTACTATTTTCCTGTTCACAACATATATATTGATTTTTGCATCGCCCGTCCCACCTGCACACATTCCATAGAACGATTTCATTCGTCGCTGAGCCACTTTGATTGGAAAAAAAAAAGCCCTGATCAAGACTAATGCTTGGAAAAAGTGGGGAAAAGCAATTGCCCCCGGGAAGTGTATGCAGGATAACCATAATCATAATAGTAATAATAGGATCTATACACAGATTGTTACCGGAAAATGTTCACATTCCTTCAGTCAGAGACTTTTTCGCACAATATGATTTAGCATTAAATGATTGTGTTAAAGGGAATTAGAATACGCACTGAAGACGTGAACGTTCACTTATAGATTCGGCGCCTTTGTCACACGGAATCTTATGTAATCACAGCATCGTCATGTGAAGTGCCAATGCTCAAGAGAGACAAAATTCATCTGACGGCCAAGTTAGATTTTATTTTAATTTAATGCAATAATTACAAATAATTACGATAAGTTAATTTCACACTTGAATATATTATCATATTAGACATAAACCCTTAAATTTTGGCTCTTGCTCGTGTCACAGGCGCTATTCCTCACTTATTTTCACACTCTCTTCATTGTCACCATCGTCGTCATCGTCATCATCGTCATCATCGTCAAAGAACCATTCGCATTGCTCGATCAATGTTTCTATGATTTGACTTTGCAACCCAGAATCCATAATACTTTCAATTCCAGCTTCGAACGGTCGAATTAAATTGGGAGCAAATACTATTGCTAGATTTGGCGGTTCCATCTTATTTTCCTCACTGTAAGATGTCACACGTGACAAGTGTCTCATGAGAGTTTCGAGGGTCTCGAAATTGACCTGAGGAAGAGAATGAATCAGCGAGTGTAGTCGGTACATTTTCTCATTATAGTCGGTTATTTCTATAAGAGAAGCGGAACTCGTTGGTCAATAGAAAGTACAAGACAAGCAATTGGCAAACTAAAAGGTGTTATGCAACTCACTTGCTGCCTCTATAAACATATCATAGTATTCGAATGGTATCAAGGGATTAGCCAATTCGCGAAAATAAAGTTTAAGCAGCCCGGTTATTACGTTTATGTCTGGTTCATCGTAGAGATTTATTGATTCACCTAAATTGGCAAAATTTCGTGTTGATTAAAAAGAACGAAAGTCTTGAGACGTCATCATTGTAGCTCGCAGACATTATAATTACCATCATTGACCTGCTTTCGCAATTTTTGAATGGTGGCAGTATTTCCCGATAGTCGATATAAGCCAACACTTTGCAAACCTACAAGTGAAGATGTATTAATTACTCAAGTCTATCATTTCATGGATTAAATGAGAATCAGCCTCTCACCACGTTCATCCACTATTTTTATGCAATTTTCAACAATATGCGGTATTCGGCCGTCTGAATTCTCAAGCAGTCCACCAAAAATCAAATCTGCTAATTTAAACTTGTCAATATATCAACTAGGCAAAAAAACAAGGCCGTATTGTTAGCTGATCCGAATATGCGCAGCATACCGTTTTGTACGGTCTTCTTGTCGTAGTTCGATGATGGCTTATTCTGGAAGAACCAATTCCTCTTTCTCGAGGCGGCATTACTAGCACCTTATATACGCAGATGTTACTTATGTGAATTTCACTCCATGAAACCAGATATTAACAGTATATTACCGAATTTTTTAGATTTCTTCTTGACAAGGCCTGCGTCCTCTTTCTCTGTCTTCTTGAAATAAACAGATTCACTCGCTATACAAGAAGATTGGACTCGGTTACAAATTTTTCTTCTATTAGGTTTCTACCGCAGACATAACCACCTTTTAACTGTAATCCCCTATTGACTTTCTTGTTGATCTTCATGTCATTAATTTCATTCACGCATACTCGTAATAAAGACTCAATTTCTATGAAATCAAGCAGAATATTATGTATCCATATGTAGATAGTTAAGACAGACTCACCATGCTTTAATCACTCACCTGGTTCGTTATTTGACTGTAAAACAAACAAACATTGTTAGCAACAAAAAAATGACTATACGTCTGACCATGTTTGTATAAATTTACCTTGTGAGATTTTTTTCGCTCTTCTTGATTGACATTTATTATATCCACCCATCCCCTTGCTTCACTATCAGACTGAGCTTGCATAAACATTCTCATTCCATCACAGGCGTTAAGTATAAATACATGTTTCTGCTTGGTGTGTTGTCTCCCCGCAAACTCCAATCTATCCTTATGCACGTCAAATATCCCGACTGGCATTACCTTCTTCTCAGTTTTCTGTAGACAATGTTATCGGCAACGGTTAGTAGATGCTAATACCTATACAAGTACTATAGTAAACGTGTCAGCGTACTTTATTCCTATCAGGTGAGCTCTTGTAGAATATTATATATACATCACAAAGCACAACCCAATATAGCTTCCATGAACTCAGTTTATCGCCTTCTGGACTTTCTGTTTTCATTGATAGACAGCCTTGCTTGTGGATCCATTGCGCTGGTATGCGGTCGAGTTGCTGGGCGTAAATATGTGAGAAATGTGTGGTGAGCGCATTTGGTCATTACCTTGGATGAATCACAGCGTTCTGATATTTTACCAATATACTTAGTTCTGTCCGGGAGGTGGGTGCCGCAAATTCACCTAGTCTAGTGTGATTGTAATACACTTTTTCTGGTGGAATGGGCTTCATGTGATGATGATCAGACTTAGTTCTGGAATAACTTCTAAGATCAACAGATTCCTATACAAAATAGTGTAAACAGTTTTTCTTCATTCGTCCAAATATTTTTGACACCATAAAATTACGATTCTGTACTAACCTCTGTCATAGGGTAATTCGATTCATTAAGGTTTTCTGACAAACCGTATCCTTCCGTTAATTCAGGCTCTACGTCATTGCTTATTGCTTCTTCGTTTCTTTCTTCTTCCGTCTTATTTATTGTTTGAGAATCTACGACCATTGTTTCTACTGGCATCTCCCACTGCGACTCATTCGTGAATTCGTTGTAATAGAATACTGCACCGCTGTCGTCTGAACATAATTGGCAGTGACCCAACTGAATGAGTTGTAGTTATCGAGTGTAGAGATTTGATTGGTACTTGTATTGAATACTTCTGATTCAGTCTGATATACTATTATTTAAACTATAGCTTCGGATAATACTAATATTTCTAATCTAATCATATATAAAGTATTCGCTGCCAACAAATTCATATTTCAATGTTGTTCTTAAACGAGAGAATAAACAAATACAAACCGACGCTAGACCACCAGCCTTTCGGTAAATTCAATTGTTGATTACGATCAGACTCTGGCTGACGCGAATGTATTACCGACGGGGGACGTTGACGTTGATCACCTGATTCTGACAATCTTTGGTTGTCTACTGTTACATCGTCATATACACTTTCAATTGGGACCGTAGCATTTAGAATTGTATTGTCGTCATCTTGTTCCCTGCTATCTCGACTTGGTAGTTGGATCATTTCCTCATGCTCATTGTTGATAACCTGCTGCTCAAATAATTGATTGCCTTGAAGCGTTTGAGTCTCCACAAATGAGCCGTTATCGTAGACGACGGCTCTTCTATGTAGTTCAATATTCAATAACGAAGTATCCCAAGCCGTCTCTCCCATTCTTGTACTATATAAGGATGCCTGCCCATCCTCATTATAAATATTACCGTCCATAGTAGAAGCAATAGTCTTATATTTAGGAACATCAATGTCATTGTCTTCCAAGTCATTAGTGGTTCTTGATTGTGATGGTTGATCCAAGGTTTCATCTGATGAAACAAATGGATTGTCTTCATAATCGTCTTCTAGCTTCAGATCTTCCACTCCCCTGTCGATTAAATCGTCTTGCTTAAATGATGCAGAACGTGGTGTATTTTCGTAATCTTCAACGTTCAATGACGAATGCAGTTCGCTGTAATGTTCCTCATCATCGCTTGCAAGTGGATGGTAGCCTTCGTCGACAGCCGTAGCAACTTCGTCGGCATCCTTTATGACGGTAACATTAAGGAGAAGGAAAAATGCAATCAAATTTATGTCACTCATTTGACATACCCAATGTGTTTTCTTACCGCTTGCAAGGAAACATTATCCGTATAATTGTCCGACAAACCTAACAGAATATCGGAGCATAACATCAGATAAAGCAGCAACTCAATTTTTGTTAACTTCTGCTTTTGTCTGTTTGACATTTTCCCATTCCCTACGCACCTTCGCCATTATGATAATGCTCCATGATATCCCAGACGTTTCTTTCTGCTTCCTCCACCTCTCTTTCGAATATCTGTTCTCTTAATAAATCTTCGGGGAACATCTCATCTTCTGACAATTGCTCATCCAGATACTGATCATGCGCACTTTGTTCACCTTGGCCGTCAACGTCATTCTGCAGCAATAATTCTTCCTGAGACGGTTGTTCTCCAGCGTAAAGCAATCGAGGATAATGTTTATGGTCAGCTTGCTCTTCTTCAGAAGAATCTTCTTCAGCAGATTCAACATCGTCGTTGCTGTCATTCTGAATTTCTCGATCATGTGATGGCTGATGCATTGGCTCAGCGGTGGCATCCTCAGTGATTTCTTGTATTGATTGGGACTCGATGTGCTGTATTGTAACGTGCTCAACTGATAGTTGTCCTTCACTGCTGCTCGAGCGTAGTATGTGATCGACGATTGATTCTTGATCAACAGGTTTATTATATGATGGGATGTTGATAGCATCTTGTGATTCAACGAAATTTTCTTGTTCATAATAAAGCTTTTCGTGTCTCAGTTCCGAAATATATTGACCACTTTCTTCAACCACTTGATTTTGCAGATAATAATTTGTTCCATCCTCATTATCATACTCGCTTACCCTGACGTCCTGATCCTTATTCATTTCCTCAGGGTACATCTGCTGAACTTCCCTTTCATTTGCAATACCGTGTACATCAGTCAGACTGACAGTTTGGATTTCAGCTGATTTTTGTGTGCTACTCTCTTCAAGAACATTTTCCAAAAATCGAACATAGCTTGCGGGAAACAATCCGCGGCGACCATCAAGCTCGCCTGATAGAAGTAGGATTACAGATCAACGAAAATATTCGAGCAATGGCAAATTACTACGTAATTCTTGTATAAACAATACCTTCCCACCTATTAATACGAGATAAGGACAACAAACCAGTCAATGATTAATTAAATTGCCAGAACAAGCTCGCATTTGTACTTTACCAGTTATCATTACGTTTGCTAATTAGTGTTACTACGTCACCGGCTTTGAGAGCCTGTGTCAAGAACAAGACTATGGTTAAGCGTTGGCTTACTATTGACCTGCATTCAACCATGCACATAGACATACCAACTCATCGTTTCCTTCCGCGTCGAAATCCCATCCAACTATAACGTATTTAGCTTCGGTCATTATGTGGCGAGTATAGTTTACAAAGGATAGGAAGTTTATGCCAAGTCCAAACCCATGTAGTATTATGTTGAGCGATAATATACTATTGTACTTTATCACTAGCGTACGTGAAATGCATAGAGAAAGGACCACAATGTTTAATGTTACAATCAACACAATGTCGAGATGGATAAATTGAGAGAATTGTGGATTATGGCCAAAAGCAGGAGTGAATCTCGTTGCTAACTTCCAAATTATTATTCAACATAATCTGCTACTTAATTAAAGAAAACCAAGATTCTCATCGTACCTTGGTTATTTCGACAACAATAATGGCAAAAAATTGTAGGTTGAAGTTGAAAACGAACGACTTCTATAAATGCTGGAATGCATTTATAGAAAGTACGTTAATAAATAATTGATCCGTTTTACATTATAAAAGAATGTCCAATTATGGCCCGACATAGCTTACACCTTTCTTTTCCCTTTGAAGTTGTGATTGCCGCGTGTAGAACCAGATGAGCTAAAAGAGACCGATTATAATGTGGCTGAATATTGACTAATAAAAACTTAGTAGTTACAGCTCATGTTTAAATCCATGGACTAGTTCCGCGTTATGACAAATGTAACTTGGTCAAGATAAACCCTTAGATCTTTAAAATAAACGATGCCAGAAAGTATCTTAAATAAAAGGGAAAAAGTTATCAAGAAGAATGAAAATAAAAACTAATAAGCCAACTTATTATTTAAGAATGCCCTTGTAAATAATCTACCTTCCACAAATTATTAAATCACTATTTTCCATACCATCTTCAATACACTTGTCAATTAGGTCTTCCACTTCATTTTCTGGCCCACTTTCGACTTCTGATTATTGGAGTTTTTATTCCGATTTTCTCAAACCTCGCTTTTTCGACTGTGGGTTACAGTTATACAATTGCCAACAGGCATTCCAGATCACAATCTAAATCTATTTGAAGTAACTTTATTTGATGGCATATTAATATGGTAATGGCAGTAATATAAAACTTGATTCTCAACCAGAATTTGAATGACACCCTTATTGTTATGCCATATTGTTTAATTAAAAAATTGCCATCCATACTTTGTAGTGCCTCTCATCTTGAGTCAAAAACTCCTAAATAATAATAAAGGAAGAAATATTGTTATAGTTAGAACAAGTCAGATAGGTGAATGAAAACAAGGAAAAGGGTTGGACCGTAAAAGTGGCGTCTAACCGACAGACTTTTCATTTATTTCGCTGTTAACTGGATAGCTCATGCAAAGTTGTAACTTGGGCCTCATACTCACAGCCAGACAGGTGGGCACATGCAATTATTACTCGAACCCCTGTCTAGGACAAGAGATGTCATAGCCTTGTTCCCACAACTTATGGAGCAGTATTCACATCAATTCAGAGCATTGACCCATAAACTAATAGTAATAGATCCATGGCTCTCCACTTGGCTCAAAGAAGTAGACTAGATAGCTCATGCAAAGTTGTAACTTGGGCCTCACAGCCAGACAGGTGGACACATGTGATTATTACTACATACAACTTACAACAAAATCACAGTCTATAGATAAATTTCCTGAAATAGACTATTCCTTCTGAGAGAGGAAAGCTCTAATTATAATGTTATTATTTAGTTCAGTAATGTTATAATACTCTTTGCATGGTGTTGAGTAGCAGCAGAATAGTTACAAGTAACTTACTAAATTATAACATTATTACAGCTAACAATGAATCCATTATAATTAGTATTAATGATTAATATTACCAATCACCATCTGAGTTAGACTCCATTTCAGTGAATCAAAACTCATTAAGTATTCTCGCTACACAACATGAGTTATCACCTAGGCCATATTAGTTGACAGTTGACAAATTGCTTCATCGATTTCTCAAGTGAATATCAATATCCTTGTTCGAACGGCAAACGATTAATTACAATTTATCCAAACCATTATAATTATATTTTCATACCATTATTTCGTTTATTATTATACAATAGCAGAAATTATTCTTATTACACATTAAACAATGTCGAATCTAGCCTTACTATTACATTGGTTAAGAAATTATTAAATGCTCGAGAAAATGATTATAGATTACCAGTTATAATGATGATTTATGCATGCCGTGATCGTTTTACCTATACGTTGTTCTATGTGATTATAATTGCACAAATATTTATTAACATGGCATTTCCAATTCGTCTGTGTTAAATTTTATCATGTTTATTAATACCATATATTTCAACAATAAAAATAATTGAAATAGTTGTTCATGATTAAAAATAATAAAGATACAAGCCTACTATCAAATATGTGATGCGAATTCATCTGGTAATACAAGTTCAATTTGCTTAGAACCTAACAAAAGATAAATTAAGATAAAGATTAGTATTCACAAAGTACTGTATTAGTATGTTATGTCCTTGTATAGTTAGTATCCGGGAATTTAAAATTTTGCTGTCTACTATAGAAGAGACAGTCCAAAAAGTAGCAGCTTCGCTGTATTTCTCTCTATTTTATGAATTTCTTGAGATGGAAGACTGCCTGTTTCCGTTGATGGCAGTGAACGCATTGAATAAACGCTGACATTCCTCAAGCACGCTAGGTCACTTCGGCATCATATCCCTTATGCACGTTTTTGACGGTTTTCAATTGATCGTGCATCACCTGAACCCGATCGATACATGTGTAAGCATAGAAATGAATGCAGTCAGTTGAGCCATATATAGGATTATCCGTATATGAAAAACAATGGTTCAGATGAATATGAAAAAACATTACGTTTCATACAGATGGCTGCAATCGTGGCTGTTCCCACAGAAATTTACGTAAAACATTTCAAGCTCTCTAGGATCGTGCAAGACGTATTTTAATAGCCCAGCTGAAAGCAATGAATGGTGGAGAAATAAAATCATAAAAAGAAACGAGTATTGATAAGAGAGCTTTTTATTACTAAGATTACAATGCATTGGACGGACTCACATGTTTTTGCGTTGGTAGTAAATATATCATTAGCAAACTTACTTATAAACTAATGTGTGCATTTACCTTAGTTCCAATTATAATATCATCATCTCAGCTCCACAAACTTGCCTGTTAATGTTGACTTTTCATCATCATAAGTTTTGATGAAGTGGGACGCCATCATAATTGTGTTTGATTGGCCACGTGACTCTGATAAACACTTTTAATCGAGTCAAAGTCAAATGACTATCGACTAGCTACGCTTCAAAGTGCGTAAATTGACCCGTCGTACCTTTATCTAGGCTTTTTACTGTAAACACTCGTGACGATTCTCTGCATGTTGGATCGATCCGAATAATTTAAACGCGTAATAAGAACTGATTAATTATCGTAAATGTCACTCAGCTAATCGCGAGGCAAGTAAACGACTAGTCTTATAGACTAGTGCTTTTCAAATATAACGGGTTGAATCCAGGGAATATAATAGGAAAATGTATGTTCAGTGTAAAGGATACTCGTCTATTTATAAATATAAGATGATAGAAAGAAAATGGAGTGTTGCAAACACTATGAAAATACGCCGATGCTAAGTCAATCTACGCTGCTTTATATATTTAAACGGACCAATTTGTTTGTTTTAGCAGCGCTTACCAATCTAACATTTCATTGCCGGTGACTGATGGCTGCGCAAGAATACGTCATCATAGTTATCGCAATATAAACTTGTAATATTTCCATTTTAATTTATCATATTAATATTTATGTTTCAATTTAATACAAACAAAAATAGTCTTCTTATTATGATGAAAGCTCAACCTAATTAATAAAAATAAAATAATATATTGGACATGAATATGACTAAACAAACTAAATATCAAGTTTATCTGGTAATACCAGTTCAATTTGTTTAGAATCTAACAAAAAATATATTAAGATTAATATTAGTATTCATTAATTACTGACAATTACATCCATTACTTTCATACCTGAGATATAACTGTTTCTTGGTGTAGGTAAATATTCCATTGTTAATATCTTGCTTGAGTATTTGACCTCTTTCTCAATATGTGATACAGGGTTTATATTTTCTTTCTTATAGATGGTATCCCAAATAGCAGATTGTTCTTGAGATGAGTTATGGTGAGGAAAAAGTTTCTGAACTTCCCTCTTAATTTTCTCAGCATTTGGGCGATTGTCTGGCTCAGCATCACAACATTGTTTAGCAATTTCTTTGAATGGCTCTGGTGCTGAATCAGGCATATATGGCCGTAGACCATTACAAATATCTTGAATCAGCTCATAGTCAAATGCTCTGTCTCTGAATGGTGGTTCACCACTAGCAATCTGATGCATAAGAATGCCAAAGGCATATATATCTGATTTTGAGGTATGTTTGTGAGTATGAAAAACTTCTGGTGCAATATATGGTAAAACTCCTTGAATTGTTTGGGAGTTTGGCTTGTATGAATGCACTGATTGAGAGAGGCCAAGATCGCATATGTATGAAGTAAAACCAGTACTGGTACTAGAAGACACAGAAGCAGAACTTCTATCCAAAAGCACATTTCCACCATGAAGATCACAGTGTATTAATCCTCTGCTATGGATAACCTCTAAATTAAATGCAATGTACTTCACAAGCTCAGCTTTCATTCTCCATGTCAACTTGTTAATGTTTTGGACCAGATAAGATAGAAGATTACCCCCTTCAGCATACTGCATTACAAGCATGTATTCATTTTTTTCAGGTACTTGTGTAATGCCATAAATCTGAAGAAAGTTGTCATAATCACAAGTGATATTCATCTTAATCTACAATATAAATAATAACAAGATACAATATGAGTTTATATAATAATAACAACAATGTATCATTAAGGTATTAATATTAAAAATAACATACCTCAGAAACAAAAGCTTCAAATGTCTGGTCAAAATCCTTCATCCGTTTTAAGGCAACAAGTTGAGTAGAATGGTCTTTGATAGATTTTGTTTTAGCAGCATACACTGTCCCATATCCTCCAGATGCAGTCTCTTCA